GTCTAGTCGATTCTGACTCATAGCGAACCTATAAGACAGAGTAGAACTGCCCCATAGGGCTTCCAAGGAACAGCTGGTGGATTCGAACAGCTGACCTTTTGGTTAGCAGCCGAGCTCTTAACCACTGTGCCACCAGGGCCCACATATATGTAGAGAGAGAGATTTATATCAAGGAAATGGCTCATACAGTCGTAGAAGCTGGAAAGTCCCAAGTCTGTGGGGCAGGCTTCAGGCTGGAGGCTTCTCCTTATGTAACTGCAGGGGCCGGTGAACCCAGATCGGCAGGTCAGACAGCAGGCTGCTCGCTCACGGGCTGCAGAGGCTGATGAATCCAAGATGCACAGGTAAGATGACAGGCTGCTGTCTCAAGTCCCAAGAACCAGAGTTCAGATGATAACAAGCCAAATGCAGGATCCAGAGCAGAGCAAAAGCCAGCAAATTTTGCCAGAAAGGCCATACATATCGGCTGCAGGAAACTCCCTTTCAACTGACTGGCTGCTCATAGCAGATCTCATCGTGGAGGAGACTGCATTATATCAGATCTCATAATGGAGGTGATTATATCATTGGATAACTGCCAAACCACTGAGAATCATAGCCCAGCCAAGTTGACACACAACCTTAACCATCACAGAGGAATACTATCAATTGTATGCCAACAAATTAGATAACCTAGATGAAATGGACAAAATCCTAGAAAGACACAAATTACCAAAACTGACACAAGAAGAAATAGAAAATCTGAGTATACCTATAAAAAGAGATTGAGTTAATTTTTTTTTTAAAGAAATCCAACAGTGAGAAGTCCAGGCCCAGATGGCTTCACTGGTGAAATCTGCCAAAATTTTAAAGAAGAATTAATAACAATCAATCCTTTACAAATGCTTCCAAAAAATAGAAGAAGGGGAACATTTCATAACTCATTCTATGAGGCCATTATTACTATGATACAAAAACCAGGTAAAGACGCCACACACACACAAATTAAAGACCAATATCCCTTAAGAATATAGACACAAAAATCTTCAATACAATACTATCAAACCAAATCCAAAATCATATGAAAAGAATTATACACCATGAGCAAGTGAGATGTATCCCAGAAATGCAAAGCTGGTTCAACTTACAAAA